ACAAGATGATTTCAAATAAAAAAGTTGTCAATTACAAAGTTTCATAACTTTTCGAGATCTACAAAGTTTATATTGGTTGTTTGGTCATCTGTTCATCCGACATGGTCGTTCTAACATTATTCACAAATCTTATATATCTCTCTTGTAGTTTCGTAAACTACGAGAGAGATATGTTAGATTTGTGAACAAATTTATTTTTACTTTGTCATATGAAGAAAAGACCAAAACAAACATTGTACATCTTGATGAGTTATACAACTTTGTAGTTGAAAACCTTTTCATTTGAATTAATTTACTGCTTCAAAATGTGCTTTGAAATTTTCTTTACCGAGTGTAAAAAAAACACTCAGCAAAGAGCTTCTTTGCCGAGTGTAAAAAAATCACTCGACAAAGAAGCTTTTTTGCCGAGTGTCAAAAAAACACTCGGCAATTCTTTGCCGAGTGTAAAAAAAACACTCGACAAAGAAACTTCTTTGCCGAGTGTCCAAAAAAACACTCGGCAAAGAGCTTCTTTGCCGAGTGTCAAAAAAACGCTCGGCAAAGGCGTCTTTGCCGAGTGCCCGAAAAACAACACTCGGCAAAGAGCCGGTCTCCGGTAGTGATCACCCCCTCGTCTCTTTCAGAGAGAACCGCTATTTCTTTAGAAATGAAGTGTAACTTCAAAGACAATTAGTACTATGGACCAAATACAGCCGATGACCCGAGGTCCCTTTTTTTTTTGCACTTTATGGCCCGTTCGGCTTATCTTATAATCTGCACTATTCAGCTTGTTTTTTCAGCCGAAACAATATTTTTCTCTCACAACAATTCAGCCAGAATAGTATTTTTCAACCAATTCAGCCAAATTTCAGCCGACTGACTGGATGTAGCAACCTGTGGACCTACATAATATTTACTGTTGTAAACAAGAAATGGATATGATAATAACATACTAACATATATAGTTTTCTAGATATTTTTTAAGAAAAGGGAATATGTATTACTTTTCTTGATAGGATTCCGGTTTTAATTTTCTTGAAAAAAGAGTCACCGTGAAAAGTTATTACAAAGTCTGACCAACTCCACACACTGAGTTTAACACTAAGCCAATGCAAAAAATAAATGGCCATCCATAGGAGGGGAGGTGAAGCATCGACTTGACTCTAAGAGCTGGCAAAGAGCATACTGGATTATCCTTGAGTTCTTTGGTGCACAGTGTACTGGATTATCCTGAATGAGTGAATGGTACCTGCAAAAAGGTTTTTGATTGGCAATTGTTGAACACAGAGTCATTCCTTGTAAGATAAATAGATTAACAAATAGTTGTAGCCTTGCCAATAATAAAATACTTTGTTTCTGTCATTCCAATTTTGACCATGTAAGTGGATAAATATTAAACATTAGTAGGAAGAGGGACACCGAGAAAAATACATGGACAGCACGCTATAGGAAATTTGCATAATAACAATAAAAAAATATGTTTGATTGTTTCCGGTTTGCCACAATAACAAGAAAACGTACTTCCATTCTAATCCCACCTGCTAAGTTATCTTTGGTTAGAATGATCCCCTTTTTAAGGTACCGCAAGAAAATCTTACCTTCACATGCCAAATTTTCAGTGAAACCTTAACTCCATTATTGACAAGAAAGTTGTACATTGAATTAATAAAAAAACATCTATTGTTTTGTAAACTCCAAACGAACATGTCTAAACCTTCATTGGTATTAACATTAGACACTCTTACAACAATAATCTGTTTTGTCTCGGAGTTTATTTCAAATTAGTGCTCTTCTAAAACAAACATTTAAGGGAACCAAAGCCAAAAATTTTGCTACCGTTGCTTGCTTTTTATATAAATGTTAATTTTAAAAACTGATAATTGTTCAAATGTGCAAAAGAGTAGTTTAATATTCCTCGCCTGATCAAACTCATGGTCCATAAATATAATGGTATCCTCTGCAAACTATGAATTTGACAATCCATCTTGTATTATAATATAGGTCTATGAAGTAGAGGGTACAAATTTATCTGTTTAATAGTAAATCATTCTTTTCTTTTGATAGGGTAATAACTAGGAATAAAAAAGAAACGCCTATAGTGTTAATAAAGTACTCTGGCATATGATACGAATAGCAAGATGCGACCTGGTTCATGTTAGTTTGTAATATATTATTGCCATTTTTTATACATGCGTAATATTACTATGATTAGATAAAGACTCTTTTTTGAGTCTATATGTTAATCCTCATGAGGCATGCTAAAAAAATAAATCCTAAAAATTCTATAAAAATTAGAAACATCCGGCTATTGATTTGGTAGTGTCGGTGTTTTATCACCCGACGAGTGAATTTATACGAATGTTGCGCTGCTCCAAGAAGACGATTGTAGCATCCAAAGGCACAAGGAATTATACTGGTTCAGGCCGGAGCTCTACGTCCAGTGTCAGAGATGAATCGACCGCGTGTTCATCGGTTGAATGCTCTGAAGTTCTTACAATGGGGCACGCAAGAAGAGTGGAAGAGATAGGAGAGTGGAGAGAGACTGCCCGAATGAAGTCTCGAGAGTCCCTCCCCTTGGAAGGGTGCCCTGGCTGCCCTTATATAGAGTCCGGAGCCAGGCCACGTACAAAGAGTTAGGTTCTCTCGATCGGGCGGTCATGAGCCTGAGGGAGGGGAAACTAGCTATCTTGGCTTGCAAGAAAGGCCGTCTTGTCTTGGTGTCAGCATGCGTCCGAACGTGGTTGTCGTCATGGTCTTGTGCCCACGTCGCGGCATGGGGGGTGTGGTGCTACAGTGCCAATCGTGATGACACTGTTGACACGGTGGTGTTTCGCCAGCTGTCCTTGTGCGACGTGGTCTCGCCCGTGGCCTTCGTCATTGTCTCCTAGTCTCCCGGGGGCGTCGTACAAGGACGGCTGACGAAACACCACCGAGATAGGTCGAGCCCTGCCGTGGCCTTCGTCATTGTCTCCTGGTCAGAGCCGGCGTACTTGGCGGGGCTCGACTTCTCCCCGTTGCTTCTGAGGTCGGGACGGAGGAGAGGTCGTGCGGAGCTAGGCAGTGTGTGGTGAAGGGAGAGGGAAGAGGTCGTGGCCGACTCCCTTTCTCAACACTTGGCCCAGGCCTTCATAGCTTAGTTGGGCCTTGGTTGTTTAGGCTTGTACTAGCTCGTTTGTCGTGGGCCGTCTGAGTGGCTAACTAATCGGTGTCTTGTGATACCCGAGATGTCGTAACCCCGATGGGTAGACTCTGATCATTATCAATAGCAACATCCATTAGGTCTATTAAGTTCTACCAAAAGTTACCTGCCTAAGTCATTATGAAAAATTTATCCTAAAGTATCCCTTAAACCTCCATGTAGATCCCAGCATATGCCATTGAAAATATAATAAAAACAAATACTGTGAACTTGTCTAACTTTATCCACCGATGCCATTATAAAAAAAACAAATCTAAAGGACATCCCAAACCCCTCCCCTTCCATAAAATGTTCATCTAAATCACCAACCTATGCTATTTTAGAAAATATTCCGAAGTAACCCTAATTTGCCTCTAACTAGTCATACCTTCCATTATTAAAAACAACATAAAGCAACCCATCTGTACCATAATGAAAAATAATCTAATTTTCTATATTTGCATATAAATTATCTGTAGTTGTATTATAAAATAAATTCTAAAGTACCTATATACATACATCTAAATTATGCACTTCTACTATTGTTAATACAGGAAAACAAACCCACAAGATTTACACGTCAAGCTAAGATATTAACTAAACACATGTCAAATGCATGTGGAGGCAAGGTGCAAAGGGAAACTATGAATATGGATAGAGAAATATAAAGATCTAGTAATTGGTAACTAAATTTTATTGCAATTGGGCAAAAAATAATGTTGTTTCTAGGTATACGATTATTGTGTTAGAATATGAACAACTAGAGAGGAAATAATTTATTTTGATTAGCTATGGTCCCTAGATAAGTTTATCCATGAATTCCGAACACTTATCTCTATCTTAAATTAACATCCCGTATAGAGCACCGAGCACTGGTTGATGGACTAGTTAGTAGTTACAAGTAATTTACATTTTGGAAGATTGAGACTTCTGATGAAAATAATTTTTATTGTTCATACTTTTCAAACAAGTTGACTAGGATATTTGGTTTGAAACCATCAAATGGTTGATAATTACTACCATGAACCACGCTTAATGATATCCCCTGAAACTTTGCTCCCAACACCCAAACATCCATTTTCTATTTGTATCTCATGTTTCATAAAATACATTTGGGCCTTAGTGCCCTCTTATTAATTAGTTGAAGGCCCGCAGAAGTCAAGAATGTATTATGATTTTGTATAGACCCAATCATCATCGAGGTCTCCTGAAGAGTCAAACCAGTTGGCATTGACCAAGTTTTAGTTTCAGCATTGTTGTTTGTTTTGGAGGATGTCAACCCTCTGCATTTTCAAAGCGAGAACTAATTAACTGAACTAGAACACTAACTCTTCAACTATAAATGTGTAGGGCTCCATGACATTAGGACACACACAAGGATCTCTAATGCAATTAGCAAACTCCAGCCACCCAGCTTCCATTCCAACTCTTTGCAACAACATGTCTGAAAGGGTTTATCTAGCTTCATTTCTCATTGTCACCAGCTTCCTCTCCACTATCAGCCATTTCTATATGCTTGCCGAAGCCGGCGCCTTCCCAGATGATGACATCTTCGCCTTAGACATTGTGTCAAAAATCCGCACAGACCGCAACTCAACCATGAAGGCCTCTATGGACTTTGGCCACATTGTGGAAGCTATCCCAAACGGGGTACTCCATCCGACCTCACCCAACGACATTGCCGCCCTAATCCTGCTCTCACTCTCCCAGCCAAAGCCCTTCACAGTGGCGCCACGCGTGCAAGGGCACTCAGCTCGAGGGCAAGCCCTCGCCCCAGGCGGCGTCGTCGTCGACATGCGCTCGCTCGGCCATGATCACCGTGTTGATGGTCGCTGCGGCATGAATGTGTCCACCCACGAGCTGTGGGTGGACGTCGGCGGCGAGCAGCTATGGTTCGACGTCCTCCACACTACGCGTCTGGACCGACTACCTCCACATCACCGTCGGCGGCACACTCTCCAATGGCGGCATCGGCGGGCAGGCGTTCCGCCATGGGCCGCAGATCTCCAACGTGCACGAACTTGACGTGGTAACAGGTACACGTCTCTTGCTGGCCATGTATGTATACATAAATCTGAGAGCTGACCAGTGCACAATGTGTAATGGATCTGTGTTTTTTTGTTGACAATTAACTAACGAACAAGCTATATATGTTGGTGGTTGCAGGCACGGGCGAAATGATCAGCTGTTCGCCGGACAAGAACTCGTACCTGTTCTTTGCAGCACTGGGTGGGTTGGGTCAGTTTGGGGTCATAACCCGGGCTCGGATCGCGTTTGAACCCGCTCCCAAACGGGTTCTTTGGGTCCGACTCGCCTACGCAGATGTACAATCGTTCACCGGTGACCAGGAACTTCTCATCTCGAAACGGTCTGCCGGCGATTCCGGTGGTTTCGACTACATTGAGGGCCAAGTCCAGCTGAACCGGATCCTCACCGAGGGCCGGAGGTTGTCTTCCTTCTTCTCAGCCCTATAGCTCGATCAGCTTGCCAAGCTCGTCCATGTTACCGGGTCTGCCGCAATCTACTACATCGAGGGTGCAATGTACTATCATGAGGATACTGCCTCCTCCTCATCCTCTGTGAAACTTGAGACACTACTGGAAGAGCTGAGCTTCGTCCCGGGGCTTGCGTTCGTCAGAGACGTGTCCTACGTGGATTTTCTCGACCGAGTTGGCCGCGACGAGCAGAAGCTGCGGTCGGCCGGCGTCTGGGACGTGCCGCACCCATGGCTGAACCTCTTCGTCCCGAGGTCGCGCATCGTGGACTTCGACGCCGGCGTGTTCAAGGGCATCCTCAAGGACACCAAGCCCGTGGGGCTCGTCCTCATGTACCCCATGAACAAGGACAGGTGGGACGACAGGATGACGACGTCCACGCCGGACGAGGACGTGTTCTACGCCGTAGGGCTGCTGCGGTCCGCGGTGGCCGCCGGCGATCTGGAGCGGCTGGAGAGGGAGAACGCCGCCGTTCTGGAGTTCTGCCACCGGGAGGGCATAGGGTGCAAGCAATACCTGCCGAGCCACGCGTCGCGGGACGCCTGGAGGCGGCATTTCGGCGAGAAATGGAGCAGGTTCGCCGCGCTGAAGCACAAGTACGCCCCGCGGGCGATTCTTTCGCCGGGGCAGGGGATCTTCGTCTCCGCCGCCGGTGACGGCCTGACCGACAAAGTGGCCTCTGATTCTCTGTAGAGGACGTTGGTTTCTAGTTTGGCCTGCATGCATGCATGTTGTGTGGATCGGAGCAAGCGGGAGACGACGGGTCGGAGCCTCGGAGGTGCTTGCACGTACGACAGTGTTAGTGGTCAGCAGGTGTGTTTAGACTTTAGAGAATCAGAATTTTGGATTTGGTTGATTCCATTTCCATGGAAAGGCGACGTGATGAATTTGTTATTAGTTTGGTTGATTCTTTTTTCTAGTAGGAGCCATAGGAAGTTTGTGGTGATGCTGATCCGGAGAAGCGTCCTAGCTAGTTTGATTTGTAATGTGGTTTATAATTCTTTAATTGTTTGTTCGTTTACTTTTAGGTTGGGTTTATGTACATGTATCCCTCCGTGGATCAAACATGTAAGCAACGAAGTTGCACCAGGTCTACTGTGCTTGAAATAAATGTCGAATTGTTGACCTTCCTCTGGTTACATACCCAATTAAATATGCATGTACAAAACTTGAGACATTCTTAAATTATGTGCATGTGCTTCAAAATTTATGTGATTCACATAACACATGAGATTTTAAGTTGTCGCTGAGGTTATCATTTTGTGAAACCCCAAAAATAACCCCCAACCCGAGACCGGCTCTTTGCCGAGTGCCAAGTGGATTGCCGAGTGTTTTTTTTCGGACACTCGGCAAAGCTTCTTTCCGAAAAGCGAAAAAAAAACACTCGGCAAAAAAAACACTCAGCAAAGAAGCTCTTTGCCGAGTGCCCGAAAAAAAACACTCGTGCCGAGTGCAGAAAAAAAACACTCGGTAAAGAAGCTCTTTGCCGAGTGTTTTTTTGACACTCGGCAAAAAAGCTCTTTGCCGAGTGTTTTTTTACACTAGGCAAAGAAAATTTCAAAGCACATTTTGAAACAGTAAATTAATTCAAATGAAAAAGTTTTCAACTACAAAGTTATATAACTTATCAAGATGTACAATGTTTGTTTTGGTCTTTTCTTCATATGACAAAGTGAAAGTAAATTTGTTCACGAATCTAACATATCTCTCTGGTAGTTTATGAAACTACAAGAGAGATATATAAGATTTGTGAACAATATTAGAACGACTATGTCGGATGAACAGATAACCAAACAACCAAAATAAACTTTGTAGATCTCGAAAAGTTATGAAACTTTGTAATTGGCAACCTTTTGATTTGAAATCATCGTGTCATGCAAAACTGTGTTTGAATTTCAAAAATTTAAAATTTGAACTTTTCAAACGACCTCGGATGGAAAAACAACCAAAATAAACTCTATAGATCTCGAAAAGTTATGAAACTTTGTAGTTGGCAACTTTTTGATTTGAAATCATCTTGTCATGCAAAACTGCTTTTGAATTTCAAAATTTTGAAATTCAAATTTTGTATACGACTCGGATGGAAAAACTTCATAAACTAAAAGTGTAGATCTCGAAAAGTTATGAAACTTTGTAGTTTACAACTTTTTTATTTGAATTCGTTTAGGGCCTCAAACAAGCAATTTACACTCGGTTTAATATAATATGTGGGGAACCAAAACGGAATCTAGACATAGGTGGCAGTGTGGTGCAGTGGTTAGAGGAGGGGACGCGTGAGGGAGAGGTCGCTGGTTTGAATCCCGCCGGCCTCGTAGCCGCGAATTTTACGCGAAAAATGTCGGGGATGGGCTGGCGCTGGCCGGTGGGGGCCTCCACCGATTAAAAAAAATCCCATTTTTTCGGGTTTTTTTCGGTTTCAACTTTGCCGAGTGCCCGACAAAAGACACTCAGCAAAGACGCCTTTGCTGGCCCATTTTTTGCCGAGTGGCCTTTACCGAGTACAGCACTCGGCAAAGCCTTTGCCGAGTGCCTAGCCACTGAGTCCGGTAGTGTAGGCTTTCTAGTAGCTAAGAGAAAAATTTATACTCCATCTCAAAGGAAATGTCATTTTAGCTTCAATGTTAAATCAAATCATCTTTAGTTTAATTAAGTTTTTATAAATATGTACTAATATATTTTGAGGGTATCAGGAAAGGTTGCCCTTACCCTTGCTGGTTATATATTTATATAAAGAAAAGAACAAGCTCCAAAAGAGTTTTAGGAAACAAAAAAGGTAGCAAAGAAAAATAAGAAAATTACAGCATGGCTTCTAGCCATCGACTAATAAGGGGGAAGTATTTTGCTTTTGCCCGATGAATGACCTGGGCGAACTCTTGTTTAAATATGCATGTACACCGTTTTAGAGAAGCTTGTAAACCTCCAAAGATTAAGTCATTTCTGGACATCCAAATACTCCAGCCCATGAGACCAATAATCTCCATGAAGAAGGGCACATATGTAATTGTCTCTTAAAGCTTGTAAACGCATCTTCTGTATTCTACAAATATTGATGATATTAAATAAGTAGTATTATATTTATCATGGAATATATTTTCATAATATAAATATTTAGAATCACAATCATTAATACTATATCTATAAATTTTGTTGAATTTAAAATACTTTGACTTTGATGTTGCACTCTTTTTTGGACCAACGGAGTAGTATTCTCGTACCCTGTCATGGCTTTTCCACATCTATACTAGGTAGGAGTGGGATGTGTTTCATCCATGTGACGATGGCGATGAGCAACTCATAAAGCTCGTGCTCATGCTGGGTCTCTCTAGACCACTATACTCGTCTCTACTAGATGATCTTCCCTTTGTGGGGAAAAGATTGGAGCTCTCACAAACTTTCCCGTGGCTCACCATAAGTTCGGGAGCTTGCCGGGCGATGCCTAGCTATCTAGAAGACTTCCCTTCCAAGAGTAACAAAAGCTTCACGAATTGGACAGAGCCCGATAAGTGCTCATGGTTTGGCTTGCTCTCAATTGCTCTCTAACTCTAAATCTCTCGACCAACACTTAGTCTCACACTAATTACTCACTCTCACAAAGATAGAGTTGGAGAGAGCTCTCACAGAGTTGGGAATGTCTGCAGTGCCACAAGGTGGTGGGATGGGTATATATACCTACCCAAAAAACTAGTTGTTAGAGCCCTAAACTAGCCATTGGGTCTACAGAGTGCAGAACTTCTGCACCTGCGTGTGGAACTCCCGTGCCGCTAAAGTTCAGTGAAAATCCATGAAACTTTCGCAGTTATCTTGAATAGCACAGACCACCTCATGAACAATGTCATAAGTTTTAGCTCCGAATTCCTATTTCGATGATATTGGACTTTATAGAAAACTTGTTCAGAGGGCTATCCATCCAATCAAGAACAAGCCCCATGATCAACAAGTGCAGGTGTTGTACGATGTGTTTCTCTCATGTTAGCACTTGGTTCACTTAGTTTAAGCACTTGAAACTTTGTCGAACTATTCGTGTTGTATCCCCCTTGATAGTACCTAACACCTATTGTTTATACCAAAATCTGGTAAGAAGAACGCGGAGACTCGAAGCTTCCAAGATTGTGTCATCAAGGCATCGATTAGATGTGGATCGATATCAGCTGATGTCAGAATCGACTATTTTATGGATGACGTCAATAGACGGTGTCAACGGGCTATGTTTGAATGGTGCTAGGAAGATATGTCGGACTCTATAAATAAGGAAAACTAAGGTCCAAGTTATTATTAAATTAGGAAGTTTTTTTATTCCAAGAATTGTAATGAGTCATATTTGAGTAAGATTCATGTTTCGGTTCTGGGTATAAATACTAGACCCTGGTTATTGTAAAAAGGGGACGAACATTTAATTAATACAATCTTTCCGGCTTTCGCTATCGCATTAGGAGTAGGAGTACTGTAGATCTCGGCGAGTTCTTTAGCAAATAGGGCTGCATCGAGTGATCGACCTCCAACTTGCTTGTGAATACCATCACGACTTGTATTTTGCTTGTAAAGCTGCATCAGCTAAGTGATCTTTTATGAGCTATAATATAAGTTAGTTATCGATCTGTAACGTAGTTTGTAAGGCTGCATCAGCTGATTGATCTCTTACGAATCATAATATAGATCAAAGTTATCGATCTTGTATTAAATAACTTGTTGTTTAATACAATATCACCAGTTATCGAATCTGCTAAGATTAGTAAGACTTTCCTTGCTGTTTTTGGTTGATTCACCAGTTATCGATCTTACTATAATTAATGTTTTGTTAATTATAACAAAATCATCCGATTGAGATAGAGATAGATCGACATCATATCATCTTAATTGGTCATCCTTTGATCTGGCCATGCTTCAAATCTTATAATTGATGGCTTAATTTCGCTAGATCGGCTTTTTTATATCTATTTCGGTCAAACATAGTATGCATCCAAAGACATATTTCAATCTTGAATGAACTCATTAGTTAATGAGATCTAATTTAATGACACTACCATAGCCGCATCGATCCGGTCGAACCTCACTGGTAAGACTTTAGATTAGAAATTATCGATTAGTGGTCTTGTTCATGATCAAGATATGTACTCTCTTTGTTTGCTATGACTGCATCGGCTATTTTAGCCGATTTACCTATACCCTCACGTATATAGCATGTTTTCATGAATCTATCAACATATAGATGGTTTTATAAATTCTTTGGCTTTGGTTTATTATCATTATCATAGCTACATCGATCCGATCGAACCTCACTGTTGATGATAATAGATTAGACTCAAAACTGTTTGTAGATTCATTTATATTAGACAGTCGATTTGTTCGCATATTATACTCTTTTCATCAAATTTATTGGCTCGATGTTTTATATCAATTATGTTCCATTTAGCCGATGATGCTTTCTAATGTTCCATGAGTATCGGTTATTTTGATTCATATCATTATCATTTAATATTAGCCAATAATCCTTGATTTAAAGATCTTCGTTTCATGGATACGCTGGATATCGACTATTTAGTCGATAGCTTCATTGAATCGGCTACCTAGCCACATATTTAGAACTATTTGATGCAACACCGACATGTTCCACCTTAAATTACTGATAAAATTTTGTCTCCTTGTCAATTGCAGGTCAAATTGACTGGCACATCGTTGGGTTTTCAAAATCGGCT